AGCTGTATTCTTGGCTCTCTTTACCTCAGTTGATCAAAACATTTAGAGGTTTTTTTTTCTTCCCGGTGCACTTACCATACTATCATTGATGAGGGCTTTGAGCAGTCCAGCTGAGAAGTATCCGTATGAGGCTGAGTTCAGAGTGAATTCAGACAGGCCCATTGACAACATGTAGCCCTGCTGCTCGGGGATGGTGAACGCCTGGGCCTCAAAGGGAGGCTCTGCAGGACTCTTGATACTGTAAAACTCTCCCTTTGAATTAAGAATGGCAAAGGATTGATTACAGCTTGATCGTTCGTTTTTCTATTTACATGATATTTCACTAGCTCTCTCTATGTTCACTGAGAATAATAATAACTTTATTTATACAGCACCTTTAAAAACAGATGTTTACAACAGTCAGGCCAAACAGAGAGTACAAAAATAAAAGAAATGCAAATAACAGGAATAAGAAAGATACAACAGAGAGGTCTCAAAAGATAGTTAAAGCTCTAAAGTAATACAATTAAGGAAATTTAAATAAAAGATAAAAAAGTCAACAAGATGAGAACAATACAGATATAGAGAAGAAGAGGGAGATGATATCACATCACAGGCACTAAAAATAAAGCAAGAGGCCAAAAGAGAAAAACATTGCAAGAAGGAGTAGGAATGAATAAAATATTAAGAGCAGTAAAATAAATAAAGAAAAGAATACATTAAAAGGCTAAATCATTAGAAGGATTAAGAATGGATCAAGGTTAAGAGCAATAAAATGAATAAAGGAATGAATAGATAAATAAAAGCAATAAAAGGAGGAACCACATGAAAGCAGGTCTATAAAAGTGAGTTTTTAGAAGTGATTTCAAAGATGTCACTAAATCCGGCAGGTCATTCCAAAGTCGAGGGGCCCTGATTGATTTGAGCCTCGACCTTGGAACGACCAGAAGGGCACCGCCCTGAAGATCTGAGGTCACAAGCGTGTTGGACATATCTCTCTAGGTGTGTGTTTTTAAGAGCTGAATGAATGGTGTGGCCTAAAGTCAGAGGACCTCACACAAGAGGAAACTAGATCACATGAAGCTACTTCTGTGTGTGCCTTCCTTACCTTAAGACCCAGATTCAGGCTTGAAGCATCAATGACAGGCAAGCCAGTGAGAGGCAGGTCAATAGTAAGGTCTTGATTCACATCAAAGGAAACTAACCAGGAAATACAGAATTTATAGACCTTGTTATTCATTCAAACATTTTATTTTACCGCCATGATTTTCCTTTATTGATTTAAAAAATATTTAAAAAACTGGGGTGTCTATGCAGCTGTAGCTGTCTGCAGTACCGTTCATGGCCTGTAGATGGGACTCCACGTTAAGAATTGATTCCTCAACAGTAGGGCAGATCTACAAAGAAACACCATGCTTATGTCCTACATTGCTCACCACTGGATATCTATTCAATATATTTTCATATAAGCATTATCTGTTCATCTCCACTGATAAAGATGACAACACTTACTTTTCCCTCTATGTCACTTTTGATACGCCCCTTGAAATGGTCCACAAATGGCTGGATGATCCAGCTATTAACAAAAAGGACATTGCAGGGCTTATATCTTGACATCAGCACAAAATAATGACTCATCCGTCCCTCCCTGAGTTCTACCGTACCTTGCTCCACCATGAAATCGAATGTCCACTTCCCCAACTCGAGCATCACAGCTGATACTGGTGACTGACAGACGCCCATCAGGATCTTTCCCCAGGTTCACATAGAGGTCACATCCATGCTAAATATAGCCATGTTGAATGAGCCATGATCACGTCTAAAAATAAACAGCACAAACGTCATCAATGCATGGTGGTGTTGGTGAACGTTTCTCTCTGTAGACACAGCCGCCATCGGCCATTTATATGGATATTTGCATTTATCAATAATCTTGATTTGTATAGCACCGATTCATAACAAATGTTGTCTCAAGACACTTAACAAAAAGAGAAGGTTTAGACTGTACTCTTTGTTATATTATATACAAAGACCCCAATATACATCCACCATGAGCACAGCACTAAAAGCACAGTTTATATATGTAGTCATTTGATATTCTGCTTTCCTTCTGTTTTATCACTCTTCCATGGTTCCTTTTTATGGTACGTTTAAACAAATTTGGCAATTGAAAAAGTGAAAAAAAATTAAGAAATTGCAATCAAGTAATAGGAGCAGCTCTAGAGAAAGAAACCGTATTACTTCTTGTTAATTCTATACACTGTGATATGAGGTGATATTTGAATGTTACGGGGTATTCTGCATACCTCTGCCAAGGCATAATGATATATACAGTATATTGTTAGTTCTAGTTCTGTTAGTTTGAAAAAGGAGATGATTATATGCACATCACGGAGGGGCAGGGCAGTGCAAAAACGACAAAATTGAGGAAGAAGATAGGCCTGCACACTTGCTCAAATACCACGAAAAAAGTTAATGATCACGACGTTTCAACCAGAGGTCTTCTTCAGGTGATATTGTTTTAGTTGTACATATAACATTTACTAGATATCAGTGTAGTTACATACTGACAGTGTAGAGTATAAGACAAATCACTATTAAATATACAGCACTCAGTGGACTGATGGCAAAGAAAAGTAACTCATTAAAACATTTGTTTCTAACTTTTGGAGTTTGAGTGTGGTCAGATATTATTGGTGTCACTTCACCCAAATGTTTTTTTAGATGCATATTAAATAATCTCATAACCCTCCTGTTGTAGAGAAACTGCTGATCACTGACTACATTACTAGCATTGGTTAACTTATCTAAATGACAACAATAAAATGAACGATGTTCTCCACAAGATTACAGGACAATGTTACAGAGAAGCTATTGACACTGTACCTTTAATGAGGCTCTTCTAGTGGGAACATTAGAATGTCTTCCTCATTATGTCTTTATGCACATTTCTCTTTAAATGTTGCAAACTAAATTGAATTATGTGACTTCATGATATCAATCCTTTTGCACTTTTGTTGCACATGTGTGTGTTACATTAACTTATACTTAAAACCCCAGATTAAACAGCTATGTGTAATTGGCTTCATGATCAGGGAGTTTAAGGGGGAGTTTAGGAAAAAACTCACATTATGCCAAAGCGTGTCCTCCACCCTCCTGTCATTGCAACACTGAGGCCCAAGGAGGAGGTCTTGAATCCTGTGGCGTCTTGATAGAACTCAACAGTGGGCTCGGGAAAGTCGCACTTTGTTATGGTGATGCTGGTGTACATAGGGAGAGCAGAGATAGGTATGAATAGTTGTGGGGATACACGTCTGAATTGAAAGTGAAAAGGTCAACTGAAATAAATTCTAAGCATTATGTGTGCTCAGACTATAAAACAGGTTATTGTTTGTACAAATATTCATACTGAAGCCTACTTGTTACTTGGTATAGTGGTTCCGAAAAGGTTAACTTAAAAACTTTAGATCCAAACCAGAACAACAAGACATCTCAAACTGTGAATCCTACCCAGTTAGTGTGTAGTAAACTTTGCCAAGGAAGCCGAGTTTTATTACACCACTGATGTCAGGGAGAGTGATAAGCTCCAACTTCTCCTGAATCCATCCTGCACCCACTTCTTTCCCTGAAAAAAAAAACATTCAATAAGTTTATTAAGTAGTTGTGATCACATACTGGCCATATAGTTTTATTCTTTGGGTTCTTTCAGAAAAACTTGAAACAACTATTATGTGTTTAGCTGAACTAATATGAACCATCTCACATTCCCTTACCGTATTGAAGTCCTTTGTTCTTCAGAATGACTTGTATTGCAGGATTTTCTCCACAGGTCAGAGAGACAAGCGTAAGCAAAACCGTCATTGATGGAAGCATCTTTCTTGGCTCCCGGTGGTGTTAGCAACAGCGTCACAATCCCAAATCTACACTGGTACGCTGCACAGTCAAAGAACTCCTGACATTTACATCCAAGAGCAAAATATAATTTGAAAATCTGAGAGATTAATCACACCAAAGCTGTTCATTGATATGATGAAACATACCTGAATTACTACCAGTTGAAGTGTTTTAAAAGTGAGCTCCTGATGTTTGTGATACGTCTGAACGCCTGTTGTGACTGCTGCTCTGCTGTTTGAGATATTAAATGGAATTTTGCTTCCTGTATCATTGAGAAGTGAAACTCCCTGACATCTGACAATAGACAGGAACAGGTCTGCTGCCTGAGTGTGTGTACATGTATGAGAGAACCAGAAAACTATTCATAGACTGTGCTCTGCTTGTGCTAACCAAAGATATGATAGAAAAAGGAGAGGGGAGACATTTTTGATTCAAAACAAAATGAATAATATATGAGTTCAATACTGAAAGGAATGTATATATGTGTAGAAATATTAATATGAACACTTACGCTGATATTACAATCATCAGGGTTGGATAAAATAGAGGTTGTCATTGTTAAGTGGTTGATAAGATTGATGACCATCTGAGTCATTCGTGGAAATTAACACATTACTCTGCTGACATGAAAAAGGAAGTGAAAATGATCTGTTCTGTTCAGTGAATTTCACATACATCTTGTGACCTTTTAGGTGAGAAAAGAATAGGCTTTAGTTTTTCCTAACATTACTAAAGACACCCGGGGTAATAAATCTAATATAGTCCACCTCCTAATTTTTTTTTGTGTGTGTGTGTGTGTGTGTGTGTGTGTGTGTGTGTGTGTGTGTGTGTGTGTGTGTGTGTGTGTGTGTGTGTGGTTTTTTAAAAGGTGGCTGTAGTTGGAGGTATCAAGCCAACTGCAATTCAATTCAAGCACATTTTTCATCCAGGCACAAGATGTTTTCAGTTGACAGCTTTGTATTCTTTTTGATATATTTTTCTGAGGCAACCCTCAACGTGCTCGTTTTAGAAAAGGGGAAGTTTCAATAAAAACATTTTTTGGGGGAAGTCAAGCATGCAGATCACTAAGGCTGAAATGAAAGTAAAATCAGTCATCTATATTTCAAGGAAACATTAGAATCACCAGCAATAAAATATTTCATTTATTTATCTCTTAATTCAACAAATACTCTTCATCTCACACACACACACACACCATGATTAGTTCCATTAAATCACAATTAACAAGTTCAATAGGAAGAGAATATTATTGACAGACATGTTTTCATATTACACAATTAGGACCAACTTGCTTGCACTTTGAATTCACTTCATCCATAATGACACTTGAAACATCAAGAAAACAAACAAGCCAACAAGGACTACTATAGGCATATACGATGGAAAATAAGACACAATAAAACTGAAAAAGAATTCTGTTTAAACAACTACACATTTGTCATTTGTTGTTTATTCAATCCAAAGAGTGCCATCTGATGTGATGGAACCCTTTTTATTTTTACCTTTTAATGATATATCTAGCAGCTCAAAAAACCATTTAACATATTCACACCATTGTTTTTCACATATTTCTTTCCCCTGAAATAAACACGAACACACCCACAGTTAGATCCATGGCGTATATTTCACTGGATCTTTGACAACTTTGCATGAAGACTGACACCTGGATATTCATCCTGCATATTCATCACCCCCATTCATGCGGAGGTTGTTTTCTTCAGTCCATTTAATAAAACATGTTTTCTGGAATGAGTTGACTACTTTACACAATGATTGTAGAGTTTATTATTGCACATTATCACGAAGGCAAAATAAAAAAAAATGTAGGCTACATTTCACACAAAAATCCTCCTCACGAGCTTCATGTCAAGTGGTCAACGTGATGTTTTGATAAGATCTGCGTCATGACAACCTGTCGGAGTGCGACATTTTAGGACATTGCCATTCAGTAAAGGTCATCTCTGTAGCTCTCAGTCATGGATATTGTACTTGAACGCCTCTATGAGCCCTTCGATCGAGTGAATGAAGCCAGATATGGCGCATATGCCTCCAATGACAAAAATGGCAACGTCGAAGAAGACGTGGTGCCACATGAGATTCCTCCACTGGAGCTTCAGGTGAAAGAGGCTGGGCAGGAGGAAGCACAGGCCAGCGCCGGTCAGACTCCCAGTTAAACCCATAAGGAGGGCAAAATGGGGCACAAAGACGGCCATAAGCAGGGTAAAGACTACCAGGGCAATTCGAAGGCCAAGACCCCACGATTTCAACTGTCCACTTGGGCCATAGCAGTCAGGGAAGATGGCCCTCCCGCCATCTTGGAACAGGGATTTCTCAAGAACCTCGACTGCAGCAAAGAATGGCAGCGGGTAAGACAGCAGTGCCTTGGCGACGAGGAAGATGTTCACCACAGCCCGGATAGTTGAAGGCAGGTTATCTGTGATGACCTCTTGGGTCGCATCTGCCCAAGTCAAGTAGGCCACCAGGGCAAAAAGGCCTTTGAGGACGCAGGCTGCAATGTGAGTCCACTCCATCATGCAGTGAAACTCACTAGGCTTCTGCATGTTTCCCTCCAGGGAGGGGAGGAAAATCTGGGAGGTGTAGCTGAAAACGATGATGCCGATTGAAATGGGGAATTTCTTCACATCGATATAAAACTTGACCTTCTCCCATGCCCAGTCACGCGCCCTGGAGAGGCAGTATGCAAGCACAAGGACGTTGATGACGAAGTGCGCCAGGGTGCAGAGCAAACTGAACTTGGAGACGGCCTTGAGGTTCTTCAGGAACGCGCAAGGCAGGAGCGCGACCGTGGCCACCACGGACCAGGCTTTCTGAGACACAGGGAAGCCTGGGAAACTGTTATACATCAGGTTTCCGCTGACCACTACGTATAGAATGCATGTCATGACCAGCTCGATGATCTGAGCCACGTTCACAACGTGCCCTCCCAGCGCTGGGAAGCGGGGCGCACAGCAGGCATTGGCGATGTCCACGTAGGAGTCCCTCACGCGCACTTTTATGCCGTCTTCGTTATCCTCGTACAGACATGCGATGAGGATTTTACCGGTATAGCAGCATACCACAGCCGCGAAGATAATGAGGAAGAGACCGAGGTAGCCGCCGTGGAGGATGGCGTACGGTAGGCCGAGGACGAACATGCCCTGCGGAAAGAAAAGCGCAGATGAGTGGTAATGGACGAGGCCCACATCACAGTGACAGGTCGAGCCCAAGCATGCGATGAATGAATAGATCACGTCTTACATAACGACATTAATAAAAAGGATTATGTGTTGTGTAAATGGCAATGCATTTAAAGACAATATTTGTTTGACTGATGATGTCTATATCGCAACATTATTTTCTATGTTGCCTCGCCCTTGAAAAGGCCTTCCATTTACGCACTTTATATGCCGGATTACAGGAATTATTTAAAAAGGATTTTCCAATTTATTCGGGTACAACTATAATTTGATGGGGACACCGATAAGCACGTGGGTGCCTTTCAGCCTCAGGGCTATCAAAGTCGAACAGGCCCGGCCTGCAGCTCATCTGATAAAAAGATTTGAATAATAAATTCCCCCACCCACTAGATGTGGTGAATTCAGACACACATACAGACACATTTTTTTTTAAAACGCGTGATTTTAGCGTTCATTATTATTAATAACCTTGATGTTTAAGACAGTAAAATGTGACCTATCCGACAGAGATTATCGCTCTGCTTTAGGAATTATCGGATTGTGCGTAATTATGCAAACCCCCAGAGAAATATGTTTCCTTGACATAGGCCGATATTTTTGATTCAAATTATGAAAATCTTCAAGGTGACTTATTGTCGAGTTGCAGGCCTAATGAATGCAGAAGCCTATAGCCTTCTTGGTGTTTTTGCATTCACAAATAAAAGATGAAAGTAATCTGTGTACCTGAATGGCATTGGTGACGTTCCAGCCAGCTTCCCATGTCGTGATTTTTGGCTTATCCTCCTCCAGTGAGCCACTTGGCTTCAGGGACGAAGGCCTCCGACCGGTACCGTCCCTCTGGTAGTGGCTGTCTCCTTCCAGATCCCCCCCTCCCTCCATGGGTCCCCCTTCCTCTTCGCCCTGAAGAACATCCATTTGCATCCCTTGCCTGTAGTCATAATCCAAGTCATCGCACTCGGCGAAACCCAAGCCCTCATCGTCCGTTGCGGCCTGGAAGCCCAGTCGGGCGAACACCCCGCTGACCTTGGCCTGAGATTTGTTGGACACCGTGTGGGCCGCATTGGTCAGCTTGTTGGTGAGCTTGTGTCGTATTAAATGAGCCATTTTAGTCGAATTAAAAACGTTCTTCAACTGGAAATGGTATTACCGAGTAAAAATCCGAGAGGCAGCTGCATGCAGAGTGATTTAATTGCGCTTTATCTGCTACTGTATATCCATGCCTGTTGCCTCTTCAATGTCGTCACAAAGCTAATAAGCCTTCTAACGGCAACCTAACCGTTTCACCCAAACCGTAAAAAATCCTCAGCCGCTTTTCTTAGCTTGCTCTTCCATAGTACTCCCTCAAAATGCACTAGTTGGTATATGTAGGCTATAAAACGAAGAAACGCCCCACAAAACAGAGGAAACGACAATCTGTCCTCATTTGTCGTTAAAAAAGATAATTCGGCATTTTTTCACCAGATTTCTCTTTTGGGAGTCCTGGTGGTGACAGCGCGAGCGCTGGAATCTCTGACAGCATCACCCAGAGAGAGAAGAGGGAGAGAGAGAGAGAGAAGAGAGAAGAGAGAGGGAGAGAGAGAAGAGGGAGGGAGAGAGAGAAGAGGGAGGGAGAGAGAGAGAGAGAAGAGGGAGGAGAGAGAGAGAGAAGAGAGAGGGAGAGAGAGAGAGAGAAGAGGGGAGAGAGAGAGAGAGAAGAGAGAGAGAGAGAGAGAGAGAGAGAAGAGGGAGAGAGAGAAGAGGGAGAGAGGGGCGTGCACGTGACCGCATAGACTGCCGAAGTAAGGGCTCGTGCACAGGGGAAAATTGTCACGAATAAGAGAGAGAGAGAGAGAGAGAGAGAGCGAGAGAGAGAGAGAGAGAGAGAGAGAGAGAGACCCTCCGAATGGGAATTCATTTCTTCGCAAGTAATCACGAGGATAAACCGGTCATGTCATAGGAAGAGGAAGGAATTGTACCTGACATAATGAAGAGATCAAACATTTTACATATGTTCATGCCATTTTTGACAAAAGGTTATCAAGCACTGCCATCAACTCATAGAGTCATATTGCGAAAAAATGATAAGGGCCTATGCTATGTAATAAAAAGCTTATTTAAAAAAAAATCTAGCCTATATATTTCCCTTCACAGTGTCTTTAATTTCGCGAATAGATTTACTACCATAAAGCCTATTAATAAACCGGTTTCGCCAGATTGCAAAAAAAAATCTAATTGCGTCAGAAAAAATGAGCATATGGGCGATGGTCCGACGAACGTGCTCGTTTTAAAATGGAAAGGAAAAAAAATATGAATTGAAGCTTCATTCTACTCCGAGTCAGCGCACAATCAAATACACTGTCCACAGCCGTACACACATCACATGAGCTTTTTCTTGCTGTTTTGCTGGTAGAATAATATAGAAATAATTATAATGGGCTACACATCTTTCCTACAAAAACAAAAAATAATTTCATTTTTTCAGTAACGTTTGTTCTTGCACATTTTAATTTTTAAAATTTGATAGGGGAAATAGGCGGCAAAAATGGAGCAATAATTTCCATAGCCTGTAAAATAGGCCTCACCTTTATATCGAAACATTTAATAGACACTGTTAGAATGTCATCCCGGCTGCATACTACTACAGATTTTACATTGCCCGCTCATCTAACATCTGGACAGATGAGCATGTTCAGCAGGCTGTAAAGAAATGCAACTCGTTGTTGATATGATGAACATGCTGCAGCTGGCCTGCTGCAGAGCACTGACAGCACCACGGACAGCTCCTCCATCACGGGTAGAAAAAACACACTCATCGGCCGCTCTTTTTTGAGTCACAGAATTACAGGGGTTAAAAGTCTACCCATTTAACAAACCACGCATTGTATCGCTTAGCTTTATCAATTCATGTCTTATAATAGGATGCATTTTACAAAGATCTGCATGGTGGAAAAATATCGGGTGGAAAGGTAGGCTATTCGTTGTCTTCCTCTGCTCTAATCCTCAGGAATAAGAAGCACCTCGTCCTCTCCTCCATAATCTGCTGTGACACTGCTGAGCAAAACTGTCATGATTTTTTTGCAGCCTGCAGAAATGTGAGCGGCTGTGGCATGAAAGGCTGAAAAACCTATGAATTTATTTCATTGCCGCGATAATAATGCTTTAAAAAACATTGAAAAGTTCCTCTAGTTAGGGGAATGGAGAACGAAAAAAGAATGATTTCATTTTCATGATGCAGGCAGAATGGAGCAAATGAGAGACAATAATTTACAAGCAACATTGCGAGACAAAAAACGTAACATGAACGAGAGCGGTCTAAATTTAGTAACCAGCCGGAGGACAGAGAAAGTTCCGCATATTTTCATGCTTGGCTTGGGCTGCTTTGCCAGCTGCTATTTGTGTTCAGGCCAACAAAGTGTTTGTTAGTGAGTGTGTGTCATCCATGTCTGGGGGTATGTGCACGTGAGTGTGCGCGCGCGTATGTGTGTGCGTGTGTGTATAAGTGTGGACGTGTGTATAGGGCAGTGAGGAAACAGGGAGAGTCCTTGAGGCATATCTCCCTCCCCCATCACACGCACAATCCGGGGACTAACGTTGGGACAGAGTGTCGGCTGCAAATGTCACTCACGCGCACACTAAAACGCCAGCACGCAGAAGACATGCAGCATCAAACTAAATGTATAAAAATCGAAATAAAATATACTTTATTGTTATAAAAAATATAAAAGCAACGAAAGTAGACGTACAGGCTGCAGGATTTTACCTCCTTCCTGAATTAAGAAATAGCATCCTATTAGGCTATGTAGGCCTATATAAAAAAAATGATCAAGAATTCTCTCCAGTGCAATAATATATCTAGGCTTACTTCCGAGCTACCCTTTCATGACAAAATGGATTTCCAGTGTGCTTTTTTAAATGAACGCTTTAGGATCGGTTGCTGGGGCGACCAATTTGGCTTTAAGGCTACAAAGAGAAGGATTAATCCACGCTGGATGTGTGAGTGTGAGAGAGAGCCAGCAAGCTACAGACACTAAGAGAGGGATGTGGTGTGTACGTAAACTAGCTTTATTCAGTGTGTGTGTGTGTGTGTGTGTGTGTGTGTGTGAGAGAGAGAGAGAGTGAGAGAGAGATAGAGAGAGAATGGAGATAGGTAGGGGCTTTAGCCTCGTCTAACAGCCATGCAGTGCTGACTGGAAGCAATAATCTCTGATAGTTGCCATGGCCACAGTAATTGGACGGGGTGCTCATGTGTGTTTATGTTGAGATTTTAGAGAAAAGAGGTTTTTCTCATACGGTTATTTGATTTTTTGGGGGGGTTTGAAAGCCTTGACTGCCCGCATGGAAGGATAATTAAAACATTTAAGGATTCCACCTAACTCTAAGACGAAAAGCCTAAATTAATACTGACAAACCGACAATGATACTGAATATTAAGGTCTTCTGTGCCGCTTACAAAACTTCACAGGATTTATAATATATTTTAATTTTAATCATAGAAAATCTATTTGTATATTTGTGCGCAAATGCATCCTTATAATTAGCAAATATGTCAGTTGGCATTATGTTTTGAAAATACCAAAAATCTTTGGATTAGGGAAAACACACACACACACACACACACACACACACACACACACACAGACACACACAAATTTGTAAATTAAGACTGATTGAACAGCATATGTTATTTGACAGGTCGCTTAAAAGGTGACATGTCCACCATAGGTTAGGCTAGAGACGTCATTTTCCTTCCGAATGATACATCATTCATTCATATCATCATTTCATCTATATCTACATTTCAAAATGAGTTTTCAAACACTTTAGTTTGACGTTTTTCTCACGGAGAGGCAGGCTTTCAATTAGGCCTACTTAACAATCCTCGAACTTTGCTGGCTGAAATGACAGCTAGGCCTATGGGAGATTTTATCAGTTGTAAGTAGACATCGTTAATATATATATTTTTTAAAACGACAGTTGACTAATGGTTGCTATTTGTTGAAAAAAAAACAATAGAGGAGTCAGCTTTTTTTCTCCACACGAATAAAGTCTTATGGTCATTTGGCATTGATGGGTGACAATCAAGTGTCAACATTACTGTAGGCCTATATGTTTATCAATGAGGTGTTGGGTCACGAACTTTTTTGTAGAAATTGAAACAAAATAAGTTTTGACTGCCTGGCATACAGACCAAAATATTTTTAGCCTCATGTTTTACTATCAGGAGATGGTCAAATTTTCCCACAGAATACCTGCAGAATAGTTGTCCCCCCCCCCCCCAACAGTTCACCTATGGAATAGACAAGTATAAAACCGAGGGAATTAAAAATATCTAAATATAAGATACAAGTTTACCTTTACTGCAATTTCAAGTTTGATCTCAACATTTTAAAGGAGCCATTATTATTATCAGCCTTAGGCCTACATTCTCCCAGCATTCATATTCATGGTTTTGAAAAAATACTCCTAG